GACTTTAACTTTTACCAAAGTATTTTTATGATTAGATACTTGTACTTTTACTCAAGTATCATTTTGAGGTACTTTATACAACACTGTAGAACTGAATCTAGCTAAACTCACGTTCAAGTGACCTAAATAGATAAATTAAGAGATTTCTTTCATAACCTTTACAACAAGCAGCTATTAGGTAACTTTTTTTGCAAAGCTAACATTTTTCTGCAGCTTTGTCCTCTCGCTCCAAGTGTTGTGAGTGACTGTGATTCTTGGGTTTTATCCTTTTATGAATGCAACTTGTTACTTTTTAGAAAGCTGTGTAAGGACAATCATTTCATAAAGACTTTTCTTTTTACTTCTTGCAATTAAATTACTTCTTTTAGAGGAAGAATAAGATGATACCTAAAACACTAGGAGAACTTAATAAAGTCTGAAAAGAAAAGCCACAAGACAAGTATGGATGTAGCCAACAAGCTGTGGTATGTGGAGGTCTAGTTTAGGATTTTACAGACAAAACCTTAGAAATATATATTTAAAAATGTTTTGGCTAAAACAAAATCCTGCTATGAAACTGTATCCTACCCAAATCCTTTGTAATGACACTGAGTGGGACGTGTGGCAGCACGTCCTTCACCTGCTGGGCCATTTTAGCAATCCGACGGTCATCTGTGCCCAAACTCTGAGCCATGAAGCCGAGCCCAATCGAACCAGGCGTGGCACCTGCGTTTACAAAAGAAAATATTTAAAAAAACAAACAAAAATCCCAAAACCAAACTGAAATAAGAAGAATCAGAATCTCATTTCATAACAGAGGAACTCACCTGTAGCGGTCTGTGGCACAGAGTGTCTTTTCCTTTTAATGTGCTCCACTTTATCAGCTTTTGTAATCTTAGTGGAGACGAGGCCAAGTTCACCAGCAAGCAGCTGAGAAGAGAGAAAGACTTAAAAGGTTTAAAGGTTGTCATGTTGTCAAGCTTTGATTGGTGTCTGGGACTTGATCTGCACATATTTGTTTTTACAGTAACATATTTGTCCTTATGAACACACTCAGCTGGCAAAGCTTACCTCCTGGACTTTGTTGGCAAACTCCTGTGTGGACTCACCATCTTGTCTGGAAACTGGTGGCAGCCAACTGGAATAAACATAAAAGAGGAAATAAAAAAAGTTAAAACTAATTTGAAAATAATCAAATGCAGAGCTCCGAACTACCGACAATAAACATTAAATTTTACAACGGCTTGGAACTAAAGCTTGTTAATTAGCTTTACTGGATAGAAAAGATTAATTGAGCTTGTTAGTTTTGCCAAAAGGTATAAATTTTATCATTAATAATATAATCTGAATACACCAACTTTGGCTAATTAAAAAATATTTATAAGAAATGCTTAAAGAAAGCAATGAGTAAAATAAACAATAACTACCTTACATAATACACTGTACAGGGAGTAAAAAATGTCCATAAGAGCTCTGTTAGCCAGCTGGACCCCAGTGTGCTCTGTGGAGGGATGAAACACAATCAAACCATCATATTAAAATTTGTCAAACTCTTGTCTAACCCTAACCTGCAAGATAATCCACACAACAGATGGAAACCCAAGCAGCTCTGGTGATTTCAAAGACGAACATCTTAAAGAGCCTGTGACATCACATTTTTGTAATAAATATGAATGTATTTTTTGAAACAGTTGACATATTTGCATGTTTGGTAACAGGAAGTGATGTCAAAGGAGACTGTCTGAATTTGAACAGAGCATTGCTAAAATAGCTAACAACACAGACTGTAGAGAAGAATCTGATGTTTCTTTATTATATTTTAATTACTATCACAGAGAGACGAGAGTTGTAGTTCAAATAACAAAATAAACAAACAAAAACCAGAGTTTTCTTTCTCAAAGAGTTCCCCTTTGATGTCACTTCCTGTTTCACTTTTGCTGAGTCAAGCTTAAAAGAAAATATGCTAATTATGTGACATAATGGGTAAAATCATGTGTATTATATACAAAATGTCTTACCCATAAAGATATTTTATTTTACTTTGTTATTTCATGAATATGCATGTCACAGACACTTTAAGGTCACAGAAACACATGACAGGAATAATCATAACACCAAAATGAGTGGATTAAATAAACTCAAACTCAGATTGTTATTTTTTTTCACTAGCTGGAACTCTTGTAAAGTGTCTGATTTTATTTCACTTTTATACAGACTGTTATAACTGAAGTATTCGTCAGTTTATAGTGAAATACACAGCAGTAGATTTTATCTACAAGGGTATGGAGGTAAATTTGTGTTTTTATTATTCAATCACACAAAAAGCATCTTCAATAACAAATTATTTTCAATCAAAAATATTTTGCAAATCAGAACCTTTTTTTTGCATGTCAGAAATCTTTGGTTGAATCTCAAACTTTTAGTTGATGCTCTTAAGTTTTTGGTTTGAACTCACAAATGTTTCGAACGTGACCATCTGGGCGGGGCCTAATGAGGAACTGTGTAAGACATATCCCTATTGGTTAGTGCAGACTGAAGCGATTTCCTGGTGCACTCGAATCAGTACGTTAAATGGTCGTTATCAGAGGTTATCAGTCCCTCCGTGTGCAGACTGTCCCTCCTCTACTCCTTMGTAGGTTGGAAGACACTCATCAAACATTTTTATGTCTGACAATATGCATCTGGTGGGTTTAGCTCCTCCCCTTGGATGTGGAGCTCAAGAGGTCGG